TGCCTCTTAAAGTTGCCAAGGTTGAGAAACACTGCCATACAGCATGCTAAACCAGAGAAAATCTCACCAGAGATGCTGTGTGAATGCAAACCCTAGCTCCTTATATGGTTAAGTCTATTGTGAGAACACAGCCATGAAGTGAAACCATTGCTTGAACATTTGAAAACCACAAATAACTTACTATTTGCATCTACAATTATAACATATACTAACTGTGCAACTTGATCGTCCCAGACAAAGGTGACTCTGGGCATCATACAAAGATTAGATATGGTAACATGGTTCATAAAATCAAAGTACGAGAACATAACGCATGCCAGGGGTCAAAAACCCATTCCTTTTCAATCACTAAACAAAACAATCAGGCCACAGGGTTGTTTAACCTCTCAGTCAAGACACATATTATTGTTGCTGCTATTTTGACTGTCGTACTGCAGAATAAAGGTAGAGAAATTTCCAAAAAGGAAACCCTCGGTCATCTCCGCTCCGCCACTCAGCCGCCTCCCTAGCACCCTCTCGTTAGGGGAAATAGCAGAAGTGACCGCGTCTGCATCTTGTCTTAAAAAGCAGGAAGCGAATGAAAAGAAAATGAGACAGATCATCACCACAACTTCTTCCAAGGCTTAATAGCTCCAGCCTGGGGAAGGAAATAGAGTTTGATTAAGCCTTGCAAACTTGACAGATCCTTTTAAAGCAACACATCCTGGAAGAGAACCATTTCCTATAATTAACACTCTGCCTCTTAACTGCAACTCAGCCTAAATTCCTTGCTTTCATCCCCTGCCCATCGCTTCCTCAGAAAGGCCTTCAAAAAGAGCTTCAGAAAAGACTCTGCCATTAACCCTGAGATGTGGCCAAGTGCCCCCTCTCCTCTTGTCCCCCCATCCACCCAGGAGCCCCGGGCGGTGGCTAAGCTGGCAGGCAGCAGGGCCAGCACAGGGGTGGCACCAAAGGGGCTTGGATCTGAAGGCCCCTGCCGCCGGCTGGATCTATTCATTTCCATTTTAAGGCAAGGAATTGATGACTGCGACTAAAGCGGCGTTGTATTGCAGACCACAGGCTTGCAAGGCAGACTCTTCTAATTCATTTTAATTCCTGTAAATATTGCAGGTGCTTCGAATTTAAGCAGCAGTTATGCCAGCGGATGGGAAAGAGAGGTTACTCAGAGGCTCCCACCTTGGGGGCCTTTCTCCAGTTTGTCTCCCGTGACCTTGGAGGGGTGACCCAGGACCCGCAGGGGCCGGGGTTAGGAGCCGGACTGGCAAGGGGATCCGTGCATCTCGTGCCAGGGGTGTTTTCTGCAGATGGAGGGCGCTTCTCCGTGGCAGCAGGAAAGGGCTGGATGAGGGTCACGTGAGCACGGCAGCCCAGGAAAGATCCTGCCAGGCCATGTCTGCCACCTGGTTAGGAGCCCTAAGGCAGGGCAGCCATCCCTCAGAGAGAGCAGCCCTACGAAGAGGGGGCTGCAGTCTTCAACTCGCCACCAAAGTCTCCGTATTCCGAGAGCTAAAAACCACCCTGAGTCAGCCAGCAGAGGAAGCAAAAGGAGGCGGAACCACCTAAAAAGTTCATCGTGAAACCAGGTTGGTATTTCTACCATCCGTGGGCCGACAACTCTTGCCATCCTCTAAGCAGCCCAGCCCTTGCAGGAAGGCATGGGTGTGATCAAGCCACCTAAAAAGCCAAAGGAAGCCTACACCTGCCCCAGCGCCAGGCGTCCTGGGTCATACACGAGACTGGGGCAGAGAGGCAAACACACAAAGGTTGCCCAATGTCTCCCACTGGAGCCTAGCAGGTGCCACTCTGGCTGAGGAACCTGGGGCTTTGAGAGCAGCTGGGTGAGTCCATGGCGGCACCCGACCCCACTGGGCATGTGTCAGCCCTACAAGGTAGACCAGTCTAAGAAACCAGTGCTGTCTAGGCCAGGACTACTTTTACTGGAACAGCTCTTTACTAGATCTTGCAAGTCTGAATGCACTTCCCCACTCCCTCCCTTTATCTTACAGTGAACTAGGAGGGGGTCATCTGAGATGTCTTCTCAAGTTATTTTCTTGGCCCGGACTCATCCCCCCTTATCCATCAAGGCCACTCCCTATGCCCTCTACAGCTTGGGAGCCGCAGCAAACCCTTCGGCTTTGCAGCTTGCAAGGTGTGAGGAAGTGACCTGTGAGGTAGAACTAGCAATTTCCAGGCTTGAGAGGACCATCATGTCAACAGAGATCAGGCACCTCCCAAGGCCATCAAGCAAACATCCAAATACCCCGATTCAGTTTTAGACATTTTTTACCTTTCTAGCCAAGGGAAATCCTTCTCCCAGTCCTTTATAAGCTCCGAGCGACGGTCACTCTTGCTTTGCAAAATTTGCATCCCTCTTGAATTCTACTTCAATCTGAAGAATTACTAAAATGAATTCCATTTGCAGCATGGACACCTGGACACCACTTCCAACTTTTCAAGTCAGTGTCCACTCTCTCCCCCCATGCAATGGGAAGTTCCACACAAGCATGAATAAAACGAGGCAAACACCCACAAGCAATTTGTGATTCTTCAGACTATTTCAAGACTCTCTGCCCCATTTTTTAGCAAGGCTCATCCCTGATCTCATGCTTTGATAACACTGCCCAGAAAGAACCACGGCGGCGTGTACACCACCATTCTCCAACCTGCTGCCCACCAGAGGGGTTGGATTATATCTACAGGAGCTGACCCTCCACTTTTCTGAAGGGCATCAGGTTGGGGAATCCAGTGCGCGTGTCCAACCTTAAGATGACTCTTTCGCCATGCGATCAGGTGTCCAAACAGAAGGGAACAGGAAGCATTGCGCAGGGGTATGTTGCAATCTCCAAGTGACGCAAAACTTTACACTGGCT